AACATGAAAGACCCCTAACTCTGGGAAACGAACAAGGGGTAGTGGAAGGGGCGGTAGGCGGGGAGATGGGGTGACTGGGTGCCAGGCTCTGAAGGGGACACTTGATGGGATGAGCACTGGGTGTTAGGCTATATGTTTGCAAATCAAACTCCAAAAAAATAATTTTTAAATTTTTATTTATTTATGATAGTCACAGAGGAGAGAGAGAGGCAGAGACACAGGCAGAGGGAGAAGCAGGCTCCATGCACCGGGAGCCCGACGTGGGATTCGATGCCGGGTTTCCAGTATCGCGCCCTGGGCCAAAGGCAGGCGCCAAACCGCTGCACCACCCAGGGATCCCCGAAAAAAAAAGATTTAAAAAAAATAAAAATAAACAAAAATTTAAAAAATAAATGAAAAAATAAAAACAAAAAAATAAAATAAAAGTGGGCAGAGGATATACATACATTTCTCTAGACATCCAGATGGCTAACACACACATGAAAAGATTCTCATCATCAGTTACTATCCGGAAATGCAAATCAAAACTACAATGAGATATATTACATTTGTCAGAATGGCTAAAATAAAAAACTCAAGGAGCAGGTGTTGGCAAAGATGTGGAGAAAAAAGAACACTCATACACTGTTGGTGGGACTGCAAACTGGTGTGGCCACTATGGAAAACAGTATGGAATTTCCTCAAAAAGTTAAAAGTAGAATTACCTCATGATGTAGCAATAGCACTACTAGCTATTTATCTAAAGAATACAAGAACACTAATTTAAAGGGCTACATGTACCCCTATGTTTATAGCAGCATTATTTACAATAGCCAAATTTTATTATTTACTATAGCCAAAAAGCTATGTTTATAGCAGCATTATTTACAATAGCCAAATTTACAATAGCCAGATTACAATAGCTGAATATTATTCAGGTATAAAAAGGAATGAAATTGCTATTTGCAAACATATGGATGGAGCTAGAGGGTATTATGCTAAGCAAAATAAGTCAGTCAGAGAAAGACAAATACCATATAATTTTACTCATATGTGGAACTTGAGAAACAAAACAAATGAGGAAAGGGAAAAAACAAAAGATAGAGACAAATGAAGAAACAGACTCTTAACTACAGAGAACAAATTGATGCTTACCAGGGGGTGGGGGATAGGGGAATGGGGTTTAAGGAGTGCACTTGTTATTATTAACACCAGGTGATGTATAGAATTGTGGAATCACTATACTGTATACCTGATACTAATATAACACTGTATGATAACTAACGAATTAAAATAAAAATAAACACAAGAAACAACAAATGCTGAGGATGTGGAGAAAAAGGAATTTGTGCACTAATGGTGGGAATGCAAACTACTGTATACACTGTTTAAAACAGTTTGGAGGTTCCTCAAAAAGTTAAAAAAAATAGGTTCCTATGATCCAGTAATTGCACTACTGAGTACCCAATGAATACAAGACACTAATTCAAAAGGATATATATATTCCTTTATTTTTTGCAGCTTTATTTATAATAGCCAAATTATTGAAGCATTCCAATTGTCTATCAATAGATGAATGGATAAAGAAGATGTGGCACACACACACACACAATGGATTGTTACTCAGCCATAAAAAGAATGAAATCTTGCCATTTGCAACGATATGTTGGAGGTAGAGAGTATAATGCTAAACAAAAAAAGTCAGTCAGAAAAAGGCAAATACCCTATGATTTCACTCATATGTGGAATTTAAGATATTCATAGTTTTAAATTGCAAAAAGGATGTCAGAAAGCATCACTAGAAGCCCAAAATGGTGAGTATGGCTTCATCTTTTTCATTCACACTTAGAGTGCAAAATATACCATATATCATATTCACAGTCACAACTCCTTAATTTTCCATTTAGCAAGAACTAGAACTATTTCAGAGACCAGTAGACTATAAATGACTGAGACGAAATGCTGAGACACCTGCACCCTGATGTTTATAGCAGCAATGTCCACAATAGCCAAACTGTGGAAGAAGCCTTGGTGTCCATCAAAAGATGAATGTATAAAGAAGATGTGGTATATGTATACAATGGAATATTACTCAGCCATTAGAAACGACAAATACCCACCATTTGCTTCAACGTGGATGGAACTGGAGGGTATTGTGCTGAGTGAAATAAGTCAATCAGAAAAGGACAAACATTATATGGTCTCATTCATTTGGAGAATATAAAAATTAGTGAAAGGGAATAAAGGGAAAGGAGAGAAAATGAGTGAAAATATCAGTGAGAGACACCTAACTCTAGGAAATGAACAAGGGGTAGTGGAAAGGGAGGTGGGTGCGGGGTTCGGGTGACTGGGTAATGGGCACGGAGGGGGGCACTTGATGGGATGAGCACTGGGTGTTATACTAAATGTTGGCAAATTGAACTCCAATAAAAGAATTTAAAAAATAATAAATAAAACTGAGACCAGGAATGTAGCACTGTGTAACCTGGGAGTAGACTTCATGAATGGATTCTGGTGGATAAAAACGAAGATGGAAACCCAGGTAGGGAACAATTTGTGAAGGACTTGAAATCTGTGGAATTAGATTAGGATGTTATTTCAGAAGTAAAATGCTACCATTTGATGTTTTTTTGTTACTAGATGGAGGGTTAATAGAAGTTTCAACTCATGACAAAAATGTGAGCTGGGTTTCAGAAAAATATATATCTTTTTTTGTGACTGGGAATAAAAATCCTCTTTGAATCTACACCTTGGTAGCACCTGTCTAGACAAAGAACATGGAGTTCTTTTTTTAAAAACTAAATTTGTTTTTTATTGGTGTTCAATTTACCAACATACAGAATAACACCCAGTGCTCATCCCATCAAGTGCCCCCCTCAGTGCCCATCACCCATTCACCCCCACCCCCCACCCTCCTCCCCTTCCACCAACCCTAGTTCGTTTCCCAGAGTTAGGAGTCTTTAAGAACATGGAGTTCTTGTGGGGAAATGGAAAGACCACACTGAGGGATGCCACCAGATCTGATCTCAGTTACACCTTTTTTGCAGCTCAAAGTTGGTGCTGCTTTCCATATGATTCCTCTGAGATAACCAGCACACAAACCATACACTTCTCTCTTGTAAAGCATGCATATTCATTTGTATAAACATTGTTCTCTGTAGTCCAGTTTGGCAAGATCCAGGATCCCGAACTGCCTGCTTTGCTACTGTAAGAGAGCACCCCCTATCCTCCTCCCCTTTCACCACCCCTACTTTGTTTCCCAGAGTTAGGAGTCTTTATGTTCTGTCTCCCTTTCTGATATTTCCCACACATTTCTTCTCTCTTCCCTTCTATTCCCTTTCACTATTATTTATATTCCCCAAACGAATGAGAACATATAATGTTTGTCCTTCTCTGATTGACTTATTTCACTCAGCATAATACCCTCCAGTTCCATGCACGTTGAAGCAAATGGTGGGTATTTGTCATTTCTAATGGCTGAGTAATACTCCATTGTATACATAAACCACATCTTCTTTATCCATTCATCTTTCGATGGACACCGAGGCTCCTTCCACAGTTTGACTGTTGTGGACATTGCTGCTAGAAACATCGGGGTGCAGGTGTCCCAGCGTTTCATTGCATGCATATGGCAATCTTATGTAAATTTTTTCTCCTTCCCCAATATTTAACCACGTATCTTGATGTGAGAGCTAGGATTTAGCCCAATTATTTTGGTAGCACTCCCTAAAAATAAAACAGCTGATCTTTCTTCCTGGTCAGAGTGCTTGGATTATGCTTCCGCAAACACATAACCAACCTCTAAATAACCAGGCCCTATTCTGGTTCTGCCATTCCCATTTTGTGGGGTCCCAACCAATTCTGTTATGCTGCTAAATTAGAAAACAGGAAATCCAATCATTCCTGGCTTACCATCTGCATCCTCATTTCCCACCCACCCTGGTACACTTTGGTTTTAGCCACTTTGGGTAACCAGATGTAATGCAACTTATGTTGTACTTTCACATCTCTGGGACTTTTCTGATGCTGATCCTTCAGCCTGGAATTCCCTTATAGATCCCTTCCATTCAATTCCTCCTTGAGGCATGTGCCCCCATTCCAAGATTTCTCAAATTAAGCTGTAATTCATGGCTTGCTCCTTCTGAGTGTATACTATATGTTAATTGACCCTACATTACAGCAACTATTTCCATCTACTTTATAGGTCATTTTTAATGAACAGGGTTAAACAAACTCTTTGAATGGCAGATGGTGTCATAGAGAGTACTTATGCTTGAGACTCTGACAGAACTGGGTTCAAATCCTGTTCTCTTCCATTTATTGCTCCCTGGTTTTGAACAAGTAAATCCACTTCTCTGACCCAGTTCCCTCATCCGCAAAATGAAGACCATTAAGAGTAGCCACGTCATATCTAGCATTAAATGTTTTAATATGGGACAAATGGAAGTACCAGAAACTTCCTGGTACATAGTAAATGCTTCATAACGGTAGGCTCTCATTATTATCACCACTGTTTGAACTTACCTCAGAATGTAAACTCTACAGAAAAAAGATTGTCCTCTGATGTGACCCTAGTACCCAGCACTGTGCCTGGCATGAAGTACGTACTCAAGAAATGTCTGTTGAGTTTGTGGATAAATTAATGAATCCATAAAACAATTCTCATTCTTAGCATCCTCCTTTTCTTCTTTGACTCTTCTACTATCTATTAACGTGGTGCTTCATACCTCACAGAAAAACTATTAAGTAGAGGGTCACTGAACATTCCCCATCCCTTGTTCATTTTGCTTTACCTCCACTTGTTGCTCCCTTTCTTGAATTCTCTGCTCTAACAAGTTTGAATTCAGCAGTGACCACTACAGCCTAGCCTTCCTGACGGAGGTAGTACGCAGGAGTGGGGGGGGGGGGGGTAGCGGGGCGTGGCCACAGTGTCGCAGAACCAGACTGCGCTTGCGTAGGCTGCGACAACGCGGAGCACCGAGAGGCCAGTGGTCATTGCTCGCTGGGTGTGTGTGTGGAAATATCACTTCTCTCACCAGCTCTCACTCCGGATCCCGGGTCTCTGGTTTAGGATTTGCCGGAGGCGCCGACATTCCTACCATCCTCTCTCTGACAGGTTGCTGAACTCCCGGTTCCTGCTCCTGACTCCTGGAACCATGTCTCTGGTAAGCCAGAATGCGCGCCGCGGCAGCGCAGAGACCACTGCAGATTACAGCGACGGCCAGGGTGAGATGCAGGCTAGTAACGCCTCCGGGTCCCCGACCTCCATGCTAGTTCCCCAGGCCCTCCAGGGCCCTCATGCGCCAATCAACCCTCAGGGTGCTAGCGCTTTCCAGGCTGCGCAGGACCCGAATGACCTCGAGGTCCTAATCGAAGAGCAGTCCCAACGTTTGGGGGCGCTCAGGGTCCAGGACCCTCTAGAAGACAGGTCTATTGCTTTGGTGAATTTCATGCGAATGAAAAGCCAAACAGAAGGTTCCATCCAGCAGGCTGAGATGCTGGAGTTCCTCAGAGAATACTCAGATCAGTTCCCTGAGATCCTCAGACGAGCCTCAGCCCACCTGGATCAGGTGTTTGGGTTGAACCTGAGGGTTCTTGATCCCCAGGCTGACATTTATAACCTAATCAGCAAACAGGGTTTCCAGACCTCTGATCAGTTAGCAGAATCCCTGGATGTGCCAAAGGCAGGTCTCCTGGCCTTGGTCTTAGGCCACATCCTCCTGAATGGTAACCGGGCAAGAGAAGCATCCATTTGGGACCTGCTGTTAAAGGTTGATTTGTTGGGTGATCCTCAGAGGATCAACAACCTTTTTGCGAACACAAGAAACCTGCTCATTACTGACTTTGTGCGCATGCGGTTCTTGGAGTACTGGCCAGTGTATGGCACCAATCCCCTTGAATTTGAGTTCTTGTGGGGCTCTAGAGCCCATAGGGAAATTACAAAGATGGAAGCCCTGAAATTTGTGGCAGAGGCCCATGATGAAGAACCCTGGAGCTGGCCAGAAGAATATAACAAGGCCCTGGAAGCTGACAAAGCCAAAGAAAGAAGACAGGCTGCTGGCTTGGAATTCTGGTCAGAGGACACTATGAATGATAAGGCCAATGATTTGGTCCAATTGGCCATTAATGTCACTGAGGAGTTGCTACCTATACATCAGGATGAGCTAGTGGCTCACACTGGCAAAGAATTTGAAGAAGTGTTCCCAAATATCCTCAGTCGAGCTACTCTAATCCTTGATCTGTTCTATGGATTCTCTCTGATTGAAGTTGATACCAGTGAGCACATCTACCTCCTTGTCCAGCAACCAGAATCAGAAGAAGAGCAAATGATGCTAGACAGCCTGGGGAGACCCACTCAAGAATATGTGATGCCAATTTTGGGTTTGATCTTCCTGATGGGAAACCGTGTCAAAGAGGCCAACATCTGGAACATGCTTCGAAGATTTGGTGTGGATGTAGGGAGAAAGCATGCCATCACCTGCAAGCTTATGAGACAGCGATACTTGGAATGCAGGCCACTCTCCTACTCTAATCCGGTTGAATATGAGCTTCTTTGGGGTCCAAGAGCTCACCTTGAAACTACCAAAATGAAAGCCTTGGAGTATATGGCCAGGCTCTATAGAAAGCGACCACAGGACTGGCCTGAGCAATATAGGGAGGCTGTTGAAGATGAGGAGTCCAGAGCCAGATCTGAGGCAACTGCCATGTTCTTCTTCAGCCCCATGTGAAGTCTGGGGAAATGTATCACTTTAGTTGTGTGGCATCAGTTAAAGGGGCCCTGGGGAAATGGGCACTGGGGCTCCAAATAAGAAGTCAGTCAGGCCTGGGGTGGAAAGTACACATTGTGCTTGATATTTGTGTTCTATTACTAATAGTATTTCCTTTCTTATAATATATCTTTGAATTAGGTTCATGATCAATGTTTATAAATGAAATTGCTCATTTGTGATCCCCGTCTTATTTTACTATAAAAGCTCAGATAACTGTGTAAAATGCATTGGTGATATTTACATCTTTCTATGATATGGAAGAGAATATAAAGTTGTTTTTAACTGTTTGAAATAATTAGTAAAATGGTTTGAAATAATTCGTAAAATGGTAATTAGCAAATGTTAAGTAACAATAGTAACAACACACACAACAAAAACAAACACAAAATCACTTATCTGTGGATGCCTTCTTTGTGTCTACTCTTGTGTAAGGAAAAAAGGCTGGTATTCACCTGTTTGCTTTGCTGTTCCAAAATGTTGTGAAAAATAAAAGTATAATGAATTAGATCCCATGCTTAAGCACTCTTTTTTATTCAACAAACATTTATTAAGCATCTGCTATGCTCCGTGCTGGGAATATAAAGGTGAAGAAGACCCAGCTGAACCCAGGGCTTAAGGGGGAGGGTCCATGGAAGTAAACCAAAAATTGTTTCATTGCTGTGGCAAGATGGTATAATGAGGATAAACTCAAGAGTTCTAGGAGAGGCCACAGGAGTAATTTCCAACTAAACTGAAGGTGCTGGGAGGGGATGGTGGAGAAGACAATGGGGCACAAGAAAGGCTAGGGGAGGGGCAGGGTGGTGTCAAGCAAAAGATTAGTAGGGGAGTGGCAGAGGAGGTGGTAGGGGATAATGAGGTGGTATGGAGGGCTCAGGACAAGTTGTCCTATAGTGACTTCTATTCTACCACCTGAGGTTGGGGTGGGGGAGGGAGGGATTGTTTATGAAGTCAGGGGCAGTATGTAAAACACCTTTTAGAGGATTCACAAAGACAATGTTCAGTTCAAGGGGAAGTGGGAGAGGGAAGCCTGGGGCAGAGATAAGGAAGACCCATATTCTCCCGAGTGGGTCTTGGGAATCAACAATGGTTCTCCCGAAGGCAGCTGGTCTTGGCTCTTGGGTCAGACAGAACAATCTACCTGGAGCTCTGTCCAGCAACCTTGGCCAGTGGAATTTATTTCTACACCTAAGCTGTTAAGGTGAGTGAGTATTTTGGCTCTCTTCATCCTGATGCTTTTTTGCAGCTTCTAACCCTCCTCACAGCTCTCCCTAAGTTTTCCCTAGAAAGCCTGCAAATAACAATTTCTATAAGGGAGTCCTGGCTCAGTAGTGGATGTTATATGGAAAGTCATCTATGACGGCAGGGGTGGGGGAGGTGCCTATGCATGGTGTAGATTTTATGTTTCCTCACCCCCCCCCGCACCCATAAGACTTCTGTCCTTTCATCCGTTTAATCAATAAGGGCTACCCTCAACTGCCACCTCCTAACAAATGAGAAAAGATGCTCCTCACATTTTCGTCAGTCTCAGGAAGAGAATGACACGACCATTTTGCCGGGGGAGGGGACAAGAAGGGAAATACACCGTTTTGGTCCCAAATACCGCAGCCTGCAGAAGTCAAATTAGAGCTGCCCGCTTGGGGAAGCCACTGCGCACGCGCACTCCGCGGTTGCCTGGGAGATACAACCCCCACCTTGTCTCCGCGATCTCCCTATCACAGCAATCCGGGGAAAACTGAACACTAAGGGCAGGATTTCCAGTCATGAGAAAATGAGTAACTAGAGAGCTAGAGCTAAAGGGGTTCTGGAAAATGGGATGGGGGTTGGAGTTATGAGGCAGGAGAGCTTCTAACTCAAAGGACGGACCTTGAAGTAGGGTCCTGCCTACATGCTGAGATCTCATTCTTTAGCCTCCTTGGATCCTTAATCTGTGCACGCTTGTGAGGCAGGGGAGGAGGGGCAAACAGATTAAGATGCCAAATTTTCCTTGCTCTCATTTTTTGGGGGGGGGGAGGGGTTGGTGCAGTATCTGGATCCTCAAGAACATCAGTTGTTCTGCGGGTACCAATAGAGAGAAACCTGCCAAGGGGTGGGTGTAGCATCTAGACCAACAATAGTGTAAAACTGCCAACTTCTTTAATACTAAATTTGTTCTAGGTACTGTGCTGGGTTCTTCACCTCCTTTAGCTCTAATCTTTCCAGCAGTTCTCTAAGAAGCATTTTAATAGCCTTATTTGGCACTGTAGGAAACTGAGGCCCACACAGCCAGTCACCGAAGGCTGGTGTTGGAGTCTAAGGCTGCCTGTGACTATGGTTCACACTCTTTCCAGTATACTACATCGCAGGCCCCTTCCAGCTTGTGCTCTGTTTTCACTCTAACTTATTGAATCTCGAGAAATACAAGGAAAGGCTGCATGACATGATGGGAGAGGCAAGATGATAGCCCTCTGGAGGCCAATGAAAGTACTGCTGAAATTTTCCAGGCTCTTCCTAGTTCCATCACTCAGGCTCCACTAGAGCTGTCTAGGTGTAGAAAGTGCGTTTTTGTCCAATCTCCTTACTCTGTCCTATGAGTCTTCCCCAATTTGCCCTCTTCCTGCAAGCTTCGAGCCTTATATGCTGGCTTTCACCCAGAGAAAGTAAAACATCACCATTTCTGGACCTCCAGAAATGTTTGGCAATGTATTTTGTGATCCTGAAAGAACACTGGCCTGATAGAGATCATGCTTTGCCAAAGGGAGCTCAGGATGCAAAAACAGAAGTGGGAGATAGCCCCTCTGTCACAGATGCCACATGTAGTTTCCTAGAAGTGACAAAGATGAGACTTGCATGGGGCACATGCCTGTGGTAAGGGAAAGGTTGTAGTCTCTCTGTGGCTACAGCCATTCCTTGGAAGGCTAGGGGAGATCTGGGTACTCTGCTTTCTACACACACCAAATTAAAATTAGCACCCCCTAGGAGAAACAGTGATGGAAGTGGGTGTCTAGTAAATAAGACTTACAAAAGATGCTGCATGAATTAATTCAATGTACAATCACCAATAGGCCTTTAAACACTGAACCAAATATTTTTCTTATCTGTGTGAATTTAGAAAAATGATAAAGTCTCAGTTCATTTGTAGACTCTTTGGGCTATCAATACCACAAGTATTGAATTTTGGCCAAGTTAGGGCTTGCAAAATGGGTGTTAGTTAGATATGAGCTCATAACCCTATATATACAATGCCATTTGGATTCCCCTTTGATCCTTCCTGGAAAGAAAATGTTGAGAATACATTCACTTTCAGTTGCTGAGACCCAGGAGTGTCCTCTTCTGGAGAAGATGGGTGGTTAGGGAAGACTTTTCCTGCCTTTTTCCCATCAGTTTCTCACTGAGCACACTCAATGAGCATTATAATTCAAGGAAAAGCTGAGCTGGACTGGCACATGTGGTCTTCAAGGCAGTTCTCCCAGCCCTAGGATTGCTGCTCCTAGGCCCTCCAATACCAACAATCTAGACCAGCCTGTAAGTACCCTTTGGGTTCAGACAAGGACCTCACAGTTGTCTTCTACCTTTCTAGTGGGGATTTCCAGACAGTGAGATTTCTCATTTTACATACTTTCTTTTTCCCCTCAATGAGTACTTGGCAATGCCCTAAGGAATTCTCTGCAGACAGGGTTTGAGGCTAGTTGTAAAGAAAGCTGGAAAAGAATGATCAGATTGGGCTCTGGCTCACTCAGACATTCCTGTTGTAGGCCTCATAGGAATACAATAAGCATATGATAAGTAGGGGGCAGTAGGTCAGAATGATTATGAACTCTGGATCTGGACAATGTTGGCTCTCACTTCCTGGTGACCTTGGGTAAGGTACTCAACATCCCTATCTAAACTACCTAAAACTATTTTCAAGAAATTGATAGAAAAGCCCAGAGTCATACACTATTCGATGATGTCAGAGAACTATATAACCTAGGCCAATTGTATGTTAGTCTAGTAATATTTCAATTCTTTACACTGCTTTTAAGATTACTTGTCAACACCTTGGTAGCTGAGTTCAAATGAATACAGATTTCTTAGAATTACTAGTATTTGGGGTTTTCCTAACAATTATTTCAGGTGAATATTAACTCCAGGTTGTTATGAATCATAAAGTTTGGCTGCATTAATAACATATTTTTTGCAAACACCCATCCACAAGACACTTTTCTAGGGGCTTCTGCATGGTCTCTTTAAGCAGGTCTCAAAGACTATTAGGAATAGACTATTAGGCTTCACATATCATTCAGGAGGATGCTTAGGTGGCTCAGTTGTTGAGTGTCTGCCTTTGGCTCAGGGCATGATCCCGGTTCTGGGATCGAGTCCCACATCCGGCTCCCTACAGGGAGCCTGCTTCTCCCTCTACCTGTGTCTCTGCCTCTCTCTCTCTCTGTCTCTCATGAATACATATCATTCAGGGAGTCCTAAACAATGAGGACTTCTCTGATAAAGGTCAGGGTTAGGAAGGGAGTTGGGAGCTCAAGCCTAATGTCTGAGCAAACTTATTTCTTATTTGAGTATTTGATACACAATGTTACATTAGTTTCAGATATGCAACTTAGTGACTTGACAAGCGTATACATTATGCTATGTTCACAAGTGTAGCTACCATCTGTTATGTTAAATCCCTATTACAATATCATTGACCGTATTCCTTAGATTGTGACTTTTACTCCCATGACATACTCATTCCAAAACTGGAGGCCCGTATCTCTCTCCCTTCACCCATTTTGTCCAATCCCTTACTCCTTTTCCTTCTAGCAACCATCAGTTTGTTCTCTATATTTATAGGTGTGATTCTTTTGTTTATTCATTTTTTTGAGATTCCACTGGTGAATATATAATTGTTAATTATATATTGTTATATATAAAATATACACAATACATAAGTTTATATTTATATAAAAACATATTTATATATAATATACTATATAATATAAAATATATAATATATAAAATTATAAATATATAATATTAATAATATTATATGTATATAACATTTCTTTATACCTTCATTTATTGATGGATGCTTAGGTTGCTTCCATATCTTGGCTCTTGTAAACAATGCTGCAATAAATATAGGAGTGATATGTCTTTTTGAATTAGTATTTTTGTTTTCTTTGGGTAAATACCCAGTAGTGAAATTATTAGATCATACAGTATTTCTATTTTTAATCTTTTGACAAGCCTCCATATTGTTTTTCTCAGTGGCTATACTAATTTACATTTCTATCAACAGTGCACAAAGGTTCCTTTTCCTCCATATCCTCACCAACACCTATTTCTTGTCATTTTGATCTTACTTTGATTTTAGCCATTCTTATTTTTGTAAGGTGATATATAATTACACATATGTTGAGCAACTTTTAAAGTGTCTGTT